AAAAAAAAAAAAAAAAAAAGAGTTTATTTTCAAGGCTACAGCAACATCTCTCCCAGGTTACACAATGGATTCTCAATAATTTTACCTAACCAAAATTACTTAACATTTTGTTTAATTCAGATATTGGGTCCTCTGCTGAGACCTCCAAAGTATTCTCCCCTTTGCGGAGTCTTCTAATTCCTGTACTCTGCCTCCTGAACTATTAGCCTCTTCTGTGAAAGAGACTCTGGAGATATGTGGCAGGGGAGGATATTGATACCGTGGCCCCACACATCTTAATGCTCTAAATGTGGAGGGAGTAGCCTATGGAAGGTGCTCAGATAATTTCGATTGACTTCCTTCACCTCCTCCCCACTACTAGAATAGAGTGGACAGAACCTGTGTCAGGCAGAACTAGATTTCAATCTCAGCCCTGCCATATTAACTGCGTAAGCCTAGATGAGTGATTTAATTTATCTGAGCCTTTTAAAATTGCAAATACAAGTTATAGCTCCCCATAGGATTATTGTGTAAGGCTGTAATGAGACAATGTATGTAATAAGATAATGTATACAAATGTTATTTCCCCCTCTTCCTTACCTCTCTGCTTCTCTCCCATCTCTCCTACCACCAAGGGCTATGACTGGAGAACTGATGAGGTGTTCAAAATGCCTGAAGGGGAAGAAGGGAAGGAAAAAATAATAACTACCCACTAGTTGATTTACAACACTGTGTTCCTAGTAAACAAATCCTCCTGCTTGAGGCTAGTGAAGGGGGACTGAAGGGACAAAAACTAAAGCTAAGCCATTTATATTTTATTCCTAAATCTTCCTTGTTTGCTTGGGGGTGGAGGTAGCTTTTTTATATTGCTGTCACAGCCTGGAGGAGCAATCATGGAATGGAAGGAAGTAGCCAAAAGCAGGCTCAAGCTTGGGTGTTTTTTTGTTCCCTGCCCTTGGGAGGGAGATGATCCTTGTGAATGAGTATGTCCTCTAGGAGAGCTGTGGTGTGAAATCAAGATAAGCTGATCCAGACCTTGGATGACCCTTCCTGCAGAAGCAGTGCAGCAATGCAGACAGGAATCCCTTCTCAAGTGGGCAGTCAAGGAGGGTTATGATCATGCTCCCCAGGAATTGTGTGTTCAGAAAAACTGCTTTGGGAAAAGCTGTATTTGGAATCACAGCAGACCCTGACCCTGAGTGTCCTCAGATTGCTCACAACAGCTGCACAGTTCTGAAAAAATGGCTAATGGGTCAGGGAGCACAGCAGGTCTCTCCTAATAGGAAATATTGCCTGTTTGTCAAAGAGATGTTAAATCTTCAAGCTGTCCCAGGCTTGGTCACCTACCTGCTCAGCAGTCTTGCTACTCGTGAAATTTCTTCTATGATTATTAACCTTATTGTTCCTTCCCTTTCCCTCCCCATCTCCACACCCCTCCCTGCCTCTCTTTTCTCTTCCCTTTTCCACATGCCTCTCTGCTGGTCCACAGCCAGTCCCGGCTCTGCAGCCCTCTCCGCAGCCTGTTCAGTTCTCTCCAAGCTCCTGTCCCCAAGTCCTTCTGCCAGTCTCTCCGCCCCAGCAGTACAACATGGTATAAACTCCATTCCCCTTTTTGTCTTGTCCACGTGTGGCCTGTATCTGTGGGTATGTCCGGGTCAGTCTGTGATGGCCTTGTAAGCGTGTTGTGCTTTTGGAGGGCATGTTGAAAGCTATTTCTTCTTGATGGGCCAGCACAGGCTGAATTATACTCCATGTAATGGCCTCATCGCAGCATATCAGTAGATGCTTAAATGTAAGACAGAGGAACACTGTGTTCCCCCAAGTTTCAGCACAGAGAATGAAATTGGATGTTGGTATAACCTAGGCTCCTTATCTCTACTGTGTACATCCTAAATCTAATTTGCTCCCTAGGGATGTCTGAGAAATCCAGTTTCTTCTATACAGAATGGTTCTCTATAATTTCCTTTAAAAATAAAAACACAGGGGAGGGGTGATGGCTCACGCCTGGAATCCCAGCACTTTGGGAGGCCAAGGCAGGTGGATCACCTGAGGTCAGGAGTTTGAGACCAACCTGGCCAACATGGTGAAACCTCATGTCTACCAAAAAATACAAAAATTAGCTGGATGTGGTGGCACACACCTGTGGTCCCAGCTACTTGGGAGGCTGAGGCAGGAGAATCATTTGAATCTGGGAGGCAGAGGTGGCAGTGAGCCAAGATCACACCTCTGCACTCCACCCTAGGCAACAGAGCAAGATTCCGTCCTCCCTCACCGCCCCAAAAAAATGCAGTTGCAGACTTCTCTGGTATCACTGGCAAAAAGTTAAACTGTTCCCCTATTTTACCATGTCAGTTTATATTTTAAAAATCCTCTTCCACTGCATAGCACATGCTGTTTAAATTATTTGTACTCTATAAATCCTTTGAAGATCTGATTTGACTCATAGTTGATAACTTCCATCACTGTTGTAGGAGCCCTGAATTCCTTTTGCTCTGTCTTAACGTCTACTTTTCCACTAGAATCCCTTCCCTCCTCCTACCTCTTATTTCCATTTTGATTGTCCTGGAATATGGAGTTCAAAATAATCTGCAGTCTAGTTCACTTTTCATCTATTCCTTTGGTTTCTGCTAGTTTCTTTTGCAAAAGAACTGCTCGTGTGTGTGTGTGTGTGTTTGAGTCAGTCAATTACTGTCCGGGGAGCAGAAGGAAAGAGGAAGCTAAGAAACTCTAACCTATCATACAAGTGAGAGATGAACACCATCACCCTTGCTGCTTAGGAAAGAGCTGAGAGAGAAGGTAATTACAGCCTGGCCAGTGAGTCTTATCCTCCAGCTTAGCCACTCACCCTGCCTTCCTTTTGGAGGTGAGAATTGGAAGTAGTTTCTGAAGGGCAGGAGGACTGTAGGCTAGTGTCAGAGAACCAAGGTGGAAATGACCTCCAGAGGGAGTAAGGAGATAAGCAGCAGGAGTGGGAGCCCCCAGTCTTGCTGCTGCATAGGCAGAGCTGTGAAGGCACATGAACCTAACTACCCATGATCCACTCAAGGTGTTATCTGGGTCCTTTATTATAAAAAACTGGATTTATGGCAATATAGGGACCTTTTTATGGTTGGGGGCATGAGGAAGACAGGAAATGGAAAGACCCTTTAATCTATATCATTAACCCACTAGTTTGTCATTTTTTTTCTATATACAGTAATTGTGTCATTGCTCCCATCTCCCCAGGACTTACCTTAATAACAATCATAGGCTGGGTGCAGTGGCTCACGCCTGTAATCCCAGCTCTTTGGGAGGCCAAGGCGGGCTGACCACTTGAGGTCAGGAGTTCAAGACCAGCTTGGCCAATATGGTGAAATCCTGTCTCTACTAAAAATACAAGAATTAGGCTGGGCACAGTGACTCATGCCTGTAATCTCAGCACTTTGGGAGGCCAAGGTGGGTGGATCATCTGAGGTCACAAGTTCAAGACCACCCTGGCCAACCCAATCTCTACTAAAAATATAAAAATTAGCCAGGCATGTTGGATCATGCCTGTAATCCCAGATATATGGGAGGCTGAGGCAGAAGAATTGCTTGAACCTGGGAGGTGGAGGTTGCAGTGAGCTGAGATGGCACCATTGCACTCCAGCCTGGGCAACAAGAACCAAAACTCCATCTCAAAACAACAACAACAAGAATTAGCTGGGCATGGTGGCAGGAGCCTATAATCCCAGTTACTCCAGAGGCTGAGGCACAAGAATTGGTTGAACCTGGGAGATGGAGGTTGCAGCGAGCTGGGATTGAGCCACTGCACTCTAGCCTAGGCAACAAAGTGAGACTGTGATTCCAGAAAAAAAAAAAAAAAAAGCACACAATTGTTACCTCATATATGATAGAGAAACTGGCTCTGGAGTTGGGCTTCAAACAGCTATTCAATTCATAGCAATTTAAAATACCATGTAACAGGCTTGGGGCTAAAAAGCACCTCTCGCAGCACAGAAGTAGGACTATCTTATCCCACATTGTTTTAAAGAAGGTTGTAAAAAGCATTGCTATTTCTCCCTGTCTTTCTATGCTGAAGCCAAAGACATGAGGTTTGATACAGCCTCAGTCCTTGCATCTTCTGCTCTCTCAACAGGCAGATGACCTCAGCAACCCCTTTGGACAAATGAGCCTTAGTCGCCAAGGTTCTACTGAAGCGGCTGACCCATCTGCAGCTCTATTTCAGACCCCACTTATCTCCCAGCACCCTCAGCAGACTAGCTTCATCATGGCTTCCACGGGTCAGCCCCTCCCCACTTCCAACTATTCCACCTCTAGCCATGCACCACCTACTCAGCAAGTTCTGCCACCCCAGGGGTACATGCAGCCCCCTCAACAGGTAAGCAGCTCCAGTTCCCAGCTTAAATCACTTTATTCAGTTTGTCTAGTATTATACCTTCTCTATTCCTCTAGTTTAGACATACAGAGGGAATACCTCTCTCTACCTTGCACTTGAGAATTGTTCTAGCCAGAAAGTCTTCTTTCTATATAACATAAATCCTTGTTTTACTTAAAACTTGTATACCAGTCCTACAACTGTGGTCCAGAATATCTCCCCTAATATATTTCTGGTCATCAATCTTGAGGCATTTATAAGTAGTATGCCGATGTTGGGGCTGAATTTTAGGGACTTCTCACACATGTCTCCTCTCACCATAGATCCAGGTTTCTTACTATCCCCCTGGACAATATCCTAACTCCAACCAGCAATATCGACCTCTCTCTCACCCGGTGGCCTACAGCCCCCAACGTGGTCAACAGCTGCCTCAGCCATCCCAGCAGCCTGGTAAGAGAAACCACTTGTGTAAGAAGGCAGTGAACAGGGGAAGGGAAGAGTAGGAAAGAGAGAAGTGCCTTCTCCATTAAAATAAAGGTGGGTCTAGGGGCAGGAATGATTAGGGTCCTAAGAACAGACTTAGGATCTCCAGAAAAAGAAAGGTAAAATAGAATGGAGAAGGGAAATTACAGCTACAGTGTGACCTCCTAAACATTCATACAAATGTATTTTCTGCCTTTCCCATCTCTAGGTTTACAGCCCATGATGCCTAACCAGCAGCAGGCGGCTTACCAAGGCATGATTGGGGTCCAGCAGCCACAGAACCAGGGCCTGCTCAGCAGCCAGAGGAGCAGCATGGGGGGCCAGATGCAAGGCCTGGTGGTTCAATACACTCCACTGCCTTCTTACCAAGTGGGTACATTCTGCATTGGGAAGGATCACTCCAGTCTTTGGGATGAGGAAAAGGAGAGCCTCTCAGGGTCATGCATACTAGAAACTCCAATACTAAAATACTGTCTGCTTTCCCCCAGAACTTTTAGTTTTTTTTTTTTTTTTTCCCATGACAGAAAGCCCATGGAGTTTGAGAACAGTCTTTAAATTGTTTGGTCTTTATACAACCATGCAATGAGTGTATGCCCAGGAAAGTAGTAGCTAAAGAAAATTAGACTCTTTTCTTTATGTCAGATGCCTAAGGGTGGTATTTGGAGAAGGCAGAAATAGAGACAGCTCTGGAAACATTTTCTTTAGGCAGATGGGGAGAATAGGAGGAGGCTGTAAGGTAGGGAAGGAAGTTGTAATGCCCTAATCTAGTGATGACTAGGCTGTTTCTGGATGAACTTAAATGCGATTATGAGTAGTTATTCTCTTTTCTTTCTCACCCAGGTTCCAGTGGGCAGTGACTCGCAAAATGTGGTCCAGCCGCCTTTCCAGCAACCCATGCTGGTCCCTGCGAGCCAGTCTGTGCAAGGAGGCCTCCCAGCAGCGGGGGTACCAGTGTACTATAGCATGATCCCACCTGCTCAGCAGAACGGTACAAGGTGAGGACTCCCAGAGAGCCTGGACATCTCCCATAGACCTTCAGCAATGGTTGCAACATGGTTTTGTTTCCACTGGCCTAAGAAAGACAGGGGTAAAGATCCCAGTAGTTCCCTAAAGCAGGTAGACTATGAGGGAGTTCATTCTCCTTTTTTCTTTATTGATTTGCCGTTTGCAAAAGAAGTTATCAGCAAAAAAAAAAAAAAAATTCCTGCTTCAGAGACTTATAATTTATGATTTCCCCATTTTTATTTTTCAAAACAATGGACCGAGAACTAGAGGATAGAGACTGCTCATCATTAAGAGAAGAAATTTTTTTGGACTGTGATGTGTCAATTTTTCCATGTACCTCTGTTTTGTATCTATGGATGAAACTGATGATGTGTCTATTTCTATATCTATTTATATATACCTGAGTATAGTTCATAGCAAATAGAATTTTTAGTGGTAGGTGGCACCTTAGAAATCATCTAGTTCGGCCGGGCGCGGTGGCTCAAGCCTGTAATCTCAGCACTTTGGGAGGCCGAGGCGGGTGGATCACGAGGTCAAGAGATAGAGACCATCCTGGTCAACATGGTGAAACCCCGTCTCTACTAAAAATACAAAAACATTTGCTGGGCATGGTGGTGCGTGCCTGTAATCCCAGCTACTCAGGAGGCTGAGGCAGGAGAATTGCCTGAACCCAGGAGGCGGAGGTTGCGGTGAGCCGAGATCGCGCCATTGCACTCCAGCCTGGGTAACATGAGTGAAACTCCGTTTCAAAAACAAAAAAAAAGAAATCATCTAGTTCACTCCCCTTGTTTTATTTTTCTCTCGTTTTTAAATGAGAAAATTCCAGCTGGGACTGTTAAAAATTTTACCTAAATTCACGTAGCTAGTTAGAGGCAGAGGTGGAACAAGAACTGGAGTCTGGGCAACTCTGTATGTTTCTGTGTGCCTGTCTCCTAGTGTATGTGCATTTACCTTTGTCTTTTTCTATGCATGTCTCCATGTTGTTTTGAGTTTTGTGGGGTTTTTTTTCTATTTGTTTTTATGTGACTGTGACTGTATTTGTTTTTTGACTTTTTTTTTGTCTTTTTGTGGAGAACAGGGTCTCGCTATATTGCCCAGGCAGGTCTTGAACTCCTGGGCTCAAGCTGTCCTCCCACCTCTGCCTCCCTAAGAGCTGGAATTACAGGCTTGAGCCATAGCATCCAACGACTTTTTTTTTTTAGGTCAAAAATAATTAGCGTGTGTGTGTGTGTGTGTGTGTGTGTGTGTGTGTGTGTGTTTTAACTCATCTCTCTCTTGCACTCTGTGTCTGTGACAGTCCCTTTGTGTTTCTGTTGTGTTTCTTGGAATCTGTGTGTGTGCATATGTGCATGTATGTGTGTCTGGTGTTTCCACAGTATTGGGAAGAGCATGTGTCACTAACATTCCATCTGTAGCAATGATTAGCAGCTTCCTAATTGAAAGATGATCAAGTACAAATATATATAATTAACTTTGAACTGATGAGTGATTTTAGAAATTGCATGGCAAATTGGTCTGGGAATGGCTTGAAGCTGCCTCTGCTTCCCATAGGGGAGGACCAGGAAGCAGCAGCTGTTTGCCAGGAGCTGTGTTCGTCCCTCCACTGCTTCATCACTCCTCTCTTCTCTGTCTTCCCAGCCCTTCTGTAGGGTTTCTGCAGCCCCCTGGCTCTGAGCAGTACCAGATGCCTCAGTCTCCCTCTCCCTGTAGTCCACCACAGCTGCCACAGCAGTACTCAGGTAAGAGGATAAAGAATTAGGGGTCTTGGGCACTGGCAAGAGCAAACCTGCTGAAGCTCTATGCTCTAGAGCTGGGAAGGGCAAAAAGAGTTCAGGTATCAGGTCTATCCCCACTGTGACTCCATCACAAAGAAAAACCAAAGTCTTAGCTGCTGTTTCCAAGGCTGGTGTTTTCTTGAAGCTGACTTCTCAAGAAATGATGTTGGGACCAGGCACGGTGGCTCACACCTGTAATCCCAACACTTTGGGAGGCCCAGGCAGGCAGATCCTTTGAACTGAGGAGTTCGAGACCAGCCTGGGCAACATAGCAAGACCTCGACTCTACTAAAAAAAATTTTTTTTAAGGCTAAGTGGCTCACGCCTATAATCCCAGCACTTTGGGAAGCCAAGGTGGATCACTTGAGCCCAGGAGTTTGAGACCAGCCTGGCCAGCATGGCAAAACCTCATCTACTAAAAATACAAAAATTAGCCAGGTGTGGTGGTGCTTGCTTGTCATCTGGTTACTTGGGAGGCTGAGGCATGAGAATCACTTGAACCTGGGAGGCAGAGGTTGCAGCTCATGCCATTGCACTCTAGCCTGGGCAACAGAGTGAGACTCTGTCTCAAAAACAAAACAAAACAACATTACAGTCGGACGCAGCGGCTCATGCTTGTAATACCAACACTTTGGGAGGCTGAGACAGATGGATCACCTGAGTTCAGGAGTTTGAGACCAGCCTGGCCAAAATGGTGAAACTCCACCCCTACTAAAAATACAAAAATTAGCTGGGCATGGTGGTGTTCACCTGTAATCCCAGCTACTCAAGTAGCTGAGGCATAAGAATTGCTTGAACCCAGGAGGC